AAACCCCCAGCATGGGGAATCACATAAATACTGAAACTGTGAATAAAATAGTCAGTTGACTCCCAGAACTGTGTTTCGTCCAGTTACTGGGGGATTAGGGATATTGCCTTCATTTTCAGCGCTTTACTTGGATTACTTTATTTTACCAGCGGAGATATTGGGATTTAATATTGCAGCTCGGCTAGAATTGGTGGCAAACGACAGGATCCAACCTTACAGCCAAAAAGCGGTGTTCGGGTAATTGAAACTACCGAACAGGGCCGCCGCACCCTCAGGGATCTAACAACTACCCCCGGGATTTGTCCAGGATGACTTGCCATCCGCTGCAGCAACACTGGACATATTGCCCGTTACTGCCCTTTGGGATCTGCAGCTAATAATTGGAGACGCACAGCACCCAACACAGAGGTCACCTCACCACGTCCCTTTACCGCCCACTGCCTGGAGACCGAGATGGGCCCAGAGGAATGCCTGGGTATCTTATATGAGGCAGACCCGATACAAGCTGCCTCCCCAGATAACCGCCAGCATCTTCGCCAGGAAGTGCGAGTGAATGGACAGGTAGCACAAGGCTTAAGAGATACCGGGGCTACCATCACCCTGATGCAAAGGCATTTGGTAAAACCAGAACATTTATCCAATCGCACAGTTGCTGTCCGTGTCGCGGGGGGGCTGTGTTTCGCTTACCCACAGCCCGGGTACACCTGGACTGGGGAGTCGGGTGGGAAAAGACCACTGTGGGCACTTAGCACGGATGGCACAAGAACATCTCCAGGCGGCCCAGGGTCGACAGAAACGTTGGTACGATCGGGGCACCCGTCAGAGAACGTTCCAGGTGGGGCAGAAGGTTCTGGTGCTTAGACCCGTTAAAGGGAATAAACTCCAGACCTCCTGGCAGGGCCCTTACAAGGTAGTAGCGCAAGTCTGCGACACTACCTATGTGATTGCCAGTGACAAAGATGAAAGGATTCAGAAATCATTTCATGTTAATCTGTTGAAAGAGTACCAGGAAAGGCCAGAGGATATTGCAGCCATATGTATCCCGGCTGCTGAGGACCCCGACAGCCTACCTATCCCAGATCTTCTAGCACGCTCAGAACCCAATAGCCTGCTCAGTACGGTGCAACTAAGGGAGCGGTTAACTCCAGCCGAAAAGGAGCAGATCCAACAGTTATTAACTGAAAAAGGGTTATCGTTTTCCCAGGAACCATGATACACCCCGCTAGTGACTCACTACGTAGAGACCCCAAAGACGTAGAGACAAAATCCTCTTAGACAGACCCCCTACAGAATCCCTGAGGCAGTAAAGGAGGAGATGAGGAAGGAAATCCAGGAGATGTTGAGACTAGGGGTCATATCCCCTGGGCCTCACCAGTTGTCCTGGTACCCAAAAAGGACGGAACTACCAGGTTCTGTGTTGACTATACAGTGACGGATGCCTACCCCATGCCCAGAGTGGACGAACTATTAGATCGTATTGCCAGGGGGCGATATCTGACCACCATTGATCTGTGCAAGGGATATTGGCAGATTCCCCTGGCCAAGGAAGCTATTCCCAAGTCGGCGTTCGTCACCCCGTTTGGCCTGTGCCAGTTCAAGGTCATGCCATTCGGGATGAAAAACGCCCCAGCTACCTTTCAACGCTTGGTGGATAGACTCCTTGATGGCTTCCAGGACTTCGCTTGCGCGTACCTGGATGACATTGCAATCTATAGTGAAACCTGGGGAAAACACTTAAGGCATGTAGAGGCCGTACTGGATCAGATTAGGGCCGCAGGCCTAACTCTGAAACCAGAAAAGTGTCATTTCGGAATGGCCGAAGTCCAGTACTTGGGACACAGGGTAGGGTGTGGGAAACAGCGACCAGAACCAGCTAAGGTTGAGGCTGTAGCCAACTGGCCCACACCCCACACCAAGACTCAAGTATTGGCATTCTTAGGGACGGCCAGGTATTACAGGAAATTTGTCCCTGACTATAGTGCCATCGCTAAACCCCTGACAGAATTAACTAAGAAGAACTTGCCTAGAATAGACCTGTGGTCTCCCGCCTGTGAAACAGCCTTCCAAGCATTAAAGCAAGCCTTGATCACCCTGATCACTGATCATAATCCCCTGGTATGGTTGAACCGAGTGGCCGGGGACAATGGACGCTTGCTGTGGATTATTATAGCACAGTTCAGGACTTATGTTGCCAGTATTCGTCTATTTGTGCATTCCATGCGGTAGAGACTCAGCAGGCACAAAGATGAATACAAACTGCTGAACACCGGACCACCCTGTTGTTCAATTATGTGGTATTTTACCTCCCAGACCGGCATATACCATTCGTATGAGAAATGCACGAATCCTTTGTTTAGATCCTAGGTGGCCGCCATTTCGGGACTTTGCACGTGTTCGCGGCAATCTTAACGCACGAACAGTTGTGATTTTCCGTCGAGTGTCTGGAAATAAAATCGGACACTCGAGTAGGCGAACACCGCTGAGACCTCCATAACATCGTTCCAGTACTCTCCTATACTGGGGGAATAAAGGATCCGGTTCTCTCCTATACGGGGGGAATAAAGGTTCCGGTACTCTCCTATACTGGGGGAATAAAGGTTCCAGTTCTCTCCTATATTGGTGGAATAAAGGTTCCGATACTCTCTTATACAGGGGGGGAGGGGGGTAAGGTTTTGGTACCTCCTATACTGGGGAGAAAAAGGTTTCGGTACTCTCCTATACTGGGAGAATAAAGGTTACGGTACTCTCCTATACTGGGGGGATAAAGGTTCCTGTACTCTCCTATACTGGGAGAATAAAGGTTTCGGTACTCTCCTATACTGGGGGAATAAATATTACGATACTCTCCAATATTGGTGAAATAAAGGTTCCTGTACTCTCCTATACTGGGAGAATAAAGGTTACGGTACTCTCCTATACTGGGGAGAAAAAGGTTTCGGTACTCTCCTATACTGGGAGAATAAAGGTTACGGTACTCTCCTATACTGGGGGGATAAAGGTTCCTGTACTCTCCTATACTGGGAGAATAAAGGTTTCGGTACTCTCCTATACTGGGGGAATAAATATTACGATACTCTCCAATATTGGTGAAATAAAGGTTCCTGTACTCTCCTATACTGGGGGAATAAAGGTTCCGGTACTCTCCAATACTGGGAGAATAAAGGTTCAGATTCTCTCCTATACTGGGGGAATAAAGGTTCAGATTCTCTCCTATACTGGGGAATAAAGGTTCCGGTACTCTCCTATACTGGGGAATAAAGGTTCCGGTACTCTCCTATACTGGGAGAATAAAGGTTCCGGTACTCTCCTATACTGGGGGAATAAAGGTTCCGGTACTCTCCTATACTGGGGGAATAAAGGTTCCGGTACTCTCCTATACTGGGAGAATAAAGGTTCTGGTTCTCTCCTATACTGGGAGAATAAAGGTTACGGTACTCTCCTATACTGGGGGGATAAAGGTTTCGGTACTCTCCTATACTGGGGGAATAAATGTTACGATACTCTCCAATATTGGTGAAATAAAGGTTCCTGTACTCTCCTATACTGGGAGAATAAAGGTTACGGTACTCTCCTATACTGGGGAGAAAAAGGTTTCGGTACTCTCCTATACTGGGAGAATAAAGGTTACGGTACTCTCCTATACTGGGGGGATAAAAGTTCCTGTACTCTCCTATACTGGGAGAATAAAGGTTACGGTACTCTCCTATACTGGGGGGATAAAGGTTTCGGTACTCTCCTATACTGGGGGAATAAATGTTACGATACTCTCCAATATTGGTGAAATAAAGGTTCCTGTACTCTCCTATACTGGGGGAATAAAGGTTCCGGTACTCTCCAATACTGGGAGAATAAAGGTTCAGATTTTCTCCTATACTGGGGGAATAAAGGTACAGATTCTCTCCTATACTGGGGAATAAAGGTTCCGGTACTCTCCTATACTGGGGAATAAAGGTTCCGGTACTCTCCTATACTGGGAGAATAAAGGTTCCGGTACTCTCCTATACTGGGGGAATAAAGGTTCCGGTACTCTCCTATACTGGGGCAATAAAGGTTCCGGTACTCTCCTATACTGGGAGAATAAAGGTTCTGGTACTCTCCTATACTGGGGGAATGAAGGTTCCGGTTCTCTCCTATACTTGGGGAATAAAGGTTCCGGTACTCTCCTATACTGGGGGAATAAAGGTTCCGGTACTCTCCTATACTGGGGGAATAAAGGTTCCGGTACTCTCCTATACTGGGGGAATAAAGGTTCCGGTACTCTCCTATACTGGGGGAATAAAGGTTCCGGTACTCTCCTATACTGGGGGAATAAAGGTTCCGGTACTGTCCCATACTGGGGGAATAAAGGTTCCGGTACTCTCCGATACTGGGGAAATAAAGGTTCCGGTACTCTCCTATGCTGGGGGAATAAAGGTTCCTGTACTCTCCTATACTGGGGTAATAAAAGTTCCGGTACTCTCCTATACTGGGGGAATAAAGGTTCCTGTACTCTCCTATGCTGGGGGAATAAAGGTTCCGGTACTCTCCTATACTGGGGGAATAAAGGTTCCGGTACTCTCCTATACTGGGGGAATAAAGGTTCCG